TTTTTCTTTAAATTAAGGAAACACAATTGGAGATATAAGAATAGCCAGCAAATACAGGACAGACATGTGAATCTCTGGAGCTTCCTGGAACTTGTTCCTCAGTAGTTTGCCATAAAGTAGGGCTCACTATGATGGATTCTGATGCAGTTCAATACTAATTTTTGCCATGGCTATTACTGGAACCTGATGAACTGCAAATACTTCTTGCATGTGTAGAGCTGTCAGAATTCCTTGGACACAGCTGGATTTTGTCAAAAAATGTATATAGGGTTTATTCTAAGTTTTCAGTCTAAAAACTGTTTGTTTCTTCCAGGTTATGGCTCATAGCTCACCTCAGAGCATACTGGATGATGTTGCCATGGTAAGCAGAAATTCTGTAACTTATATACCTTCTACATTTTACTGAAGCTAAAAGTCAATTATGCAAAATAGCAAGACTCCATAACAGAAAACATGTGTTAAAAATGATTAAGCACATCATGCTAGCACAGGTATTATTTTGCCGTTACAGCACCTAGGTACAAATTACTGACCCCTCTTCAGAACTTCTGAGTACTCAGAAATGGGGAACAAAAATTTTTGTCCCTAATAGTAGGTGTCAAAATCAACAATAACAGAACTGTATCAGAAATAAAATGTTTTATTCCTTCTTGTTCTTACGAGTAGATTTTTATTAGTGGTTTAGTGGATCTTTTCCTAATTAATGAGCAAAAGGTGTTTTTCCATAGAAAAGTAAAAGCTCTTTTTTGCCTGGTGTTGGAAGAGAGAAACAGAGTGAAATGATGCTACTGTTCCACCATGTTTTCATACACCGAAAGGTGAATAAAAACTGATCCACTCTCTTCCTTTAAAGAAGCTTGGAGGCAAGGTTGATAGAAGCCACGTGCATAGTGCACGTGTGACTTTGGAACTTTGGAGAGATGCTGTGCATGCCAAAAGTTTGTACGGATTCAAGAAAAGCCTAGATAATAAGTTCAGGGAAGAGAAATTCAGTGAGGGTTTATTTAACAAATATCCAAGGAAGTTCCAAATGAAAATGAGCAGAGATTAGGAGTTAATTTAAGGGAAGATACCACATGTGCATATCCTGTTCTTAAATTGTTTCTAAGCCTGCCATTTCTCTGCCTCTTCCCAAACCTCTTTTGGATGCTAGTTTACTGATGCTTCTGCCTGTAAGTGCTCAACAGCTGCACTATACAAGTAGGTAGTTAGAGCTTGGTCAAGTCACTGTTGCCAGACAGACAAACTTGCCAGAGTTTCATTTGGTCCCTCTCTCAAGGACTTGTATTACACTGTATCTATTTCTTCTGATGTATCTACAATTAGTCTTTATAACTGGAATGCATAACCTAAAAAATAATCTGTAAAATATGTATTTCCTACAGGTACTAGATGAAGAAGCTGAAGTATTCATAGTCAAAATGTGGAGGTTGTTGATATACGAGACAGAAGCAAAGAAGATTGGCCTAGTGAAATAAAGCACTCTCCTTGCTTCTAGGGTTCCATTTCAATTTTGGGCTTTTTTTTCCCCCCCATTGTTCAGAGACTTCGAATTCTCTCTGTTCTCAGAGACTTGAGACCTGTATTTTTTTATGTAGAAAATGTGAATTTTTTTGTCCTCTGCTCTGAGGCCCCTTTTACCCTTCTCAGTTAGTTATCAAATCCTGCATTGGTTCTCTTTATAATACAGGAGGTACAATTACCGGTATGTTTTATAAGCTGCAGCTACTGTACATGCTCTTTGGTAATTTTGTTATGTTACTCAGATTCTTGTAAATATTAAGAAAAAAAAAATCCCTTGTTTTGCAAAACATTTGCACTTAATGTGGAACTATATCAGTTACAGATGAAGACAAAGGATTTTACTGCAAGTTTATCAGTCTTTTTTTGGGAGCATACTTCCCCTTTTTTATTTAAGAAATGATGAAATACAATTTAAAAATAAGCATCTTGAGCTGTTTTCACGGAACAGCTTTGTGTGTTCATTTGATCTCTTCATCTGACTGGAAAAGGAGTTCCTTCAGACTTCTCTTTCTAATGTGAACCAGTAGTAATCTTGGTACTTTGTTGCCCCCTAAGAGTTACTAATGAAGCTGGGAACCTAATCTCTTGTAGATGCTCTGCTTCTTTCCCAGAAAGTGCAAATCACAGGAAGCTTTTTATTTGCTCAGTTAAAACAAGAGCAGGACCTAAATTCAGTAAGTGCTATCTAATGGTTTTTGGTTTTTTCTTCTGCTCAATTTAATTCTAGCCCTGCCTGCTATCCCGTCTGTCTCAAAATAATCAGATGGCTTTTTTAAGAAGAAACTATTTTTTAAAACTTTTTTTTAGTATTTAGACAAAGCAAAAAGCCCTGTTTGGATGTAACTGTCTCTTAAAAAAAAAAAAAAAAGAACAACCATGTAAACTAAAACATAAGTTGTCAAACAAAGCTGAAATCTTGTTTTTATCCATACTGTTAAACTAGCCCTGACTTTTGTTTTCTACTGTATGCAGTCTGTTGTCCACAGAAAGAGGGTAATATTTTCCTGCCTTGTTTGTATGTTTTTTTTATAAATAGACTGATATGGTATAAATGATGACATGTACTGTAAACTGCATTTTTTTTATCTCATACCTGGGTAAGAAGTCGAATCTATAATGTGCTGTGAGCTGTTCTGATTGCAGGAGGACTGTGTTCCAGGGAGCAAACGGTCTCAAAGTTATTTTTAATTTTTGAAACAAATTTCTTAATATCAGACAAATTAAGTAAAGGTGTTCCAGTATCTCTGTATTGTATTTAACTGAAGGATACAGGTTGACCTGTTCAGAAAACATAACTGTGACCTTGAGTTACTAGTTGTTTGTATCTGGAGAGGACACTTGAAAACACTGTTCTTAACAATTGGGATCGTGTATAGGTTCCACCATGTAAATATTTCAGATATTAAAAATGTATATATTTGATTTAAGGGTCAATATTCTTTTGGAGTCTTATGCAGCATGCAATTGTATTTAACACTGCTTACTGAATCAAGTGATCCCAAAGTAAGGAGCGGGGGTGGGGGGGAGTGTTTAAAACTACCTCCTGCTTATATCAGGTGACTAGAAGCCTGCAAATTTAGATGTGATCTCAATATGTTCTTTCTCATCCCTGTGATACTACACTACACATCACCAAATGTTCTTTTTTTAACTTGAAGTGTCATGCTTAGAGGTTACTTTCATGTGCTCGAGTTTGCCTGAGAATGTTTTGGTTTGCATGCTTACGTGTTGCAATCTTTCTATTTTTTTTTCTCTGCAACTTGATGGTTACAACCCTAAGAAATTACTTCTCTGTTCTCCCTATACAGTTCTGCATCACCATTTACCAAAATGTTTTCAAATTCTAAATAAATTCAAAGCTTGCTCTGTTTGTAGCAAATACAGAGAAGAGGGAGAGTGAACTTCACGAGTGCCTTTTGACCTGATAAATTACATTCTCTCTCATTAGTAGTAGTTAAACAAGAAAAATGTGACAAACACATTGTAATGCCACTGTGTGACAGATTGCCCAACATCCTCATCCAGATTCTTCAGAGAAAGCTCAAGTTGTGAAACTTCAGTTTATTTCTGCCCTAAAGTAGAGCTGTGTGTGCAATGGACGTAAGCTTGTACTCCTGAGGAGATTGAAGGTGCTGGGATGAGAAAGACACATAAACTCTAAGCTGGAGTGTTAAATATCTAGGTAAATAAGTATAAAGAATCGTTGTGATTAAAAAAAATCAGTTTTGTGGAAGTTCAGGTTTTTTTCAGTAGTGGAAGAAGAAAGGAATGTTCACTAGATGAACTCTGATTTGGCTTATCAGCTTTTGCTCTTTCAGAATGCAAGTATAAAGTCACTTTACTTTTACCTCTTACTGAAAGTTTTGTTATTATGTCTCAGTGATATTGTATTTTGTGTTAGTGATGCTGGGGAGTATAACACAAGTTACGTACTGCTGAGGTTCTTAGTAATAGAAAGTAACTTCCATTTGTTAACTTTCAACATGCACTAACATAATTATTTCAAGATAAATTTGAGAAATCTGGGGTAGAAAAAGCCTTTTTTGCCAATATTGCCAACTTCACTGTCTGGATGTATGATTTAATACACACTCTTTGTTATGTTAAACACAGATCAAGAGTGTGCTTAGATTGTGCTACATGAGTAAAGTACAGATGTTGCCACCAGGTACCCAGTGCATCATGCCATAGTAACCCATACTGTGAGGGAAAGTTACTCCAAAAGTTCCACACACTGTGTAATGAAAAAATACCAGTAATTACACAACAGAACAGGATGTACTTGTTTATCTGGACCTTACAGTGGAATAAGGCTTTAAAACTTGACATAACACATGCTCTTTCTTATTCTCCTTATAATCATTTTGTGTAACTGCCATTCAGTGTTTGGAATATGTCAATACAAAATCTAAAGTATCATTTTTCTTCATTAATATGCACTGAAAAGAAATGGGAAACAAAGAGCAAGTAAGATCCATTACCAAGAAATACATATTTTTATATTATCTTTTAAGTTGGTGAGAGTCTTATTTTGTTCTTAGAGTATTTAACCTGCTCATCTGCTGATTTGGTCTTCTAATCTTAGCTGTTTCCTTCATTCTCTTTAGGCAGGAACCTGTACTAAAAATAATGATAGCTAGATGGTCATGGCTCTAAATGTGGGCAGGGGAAAAGCCCTAAACAGTGAGTTTAGCTTCTTACTGAATTCCTGTGTCTTACTACTAATGCTTTCCTATTATTTAGAGGGAATTAGACCTTTCATGTTCTTACTAAACAGGGTTGCTAGATAGCTGCTTGAAGGAGTAGTATTTTGGAAAGCAGATACACTGAAAACTGCAAGCTCTTGGGTTTTATATTACAATTGAGTCACGCTTTTTCATATTCTGTATGTTATCTGGTGTAGGAACATTGAGTACAGAATTAAAAATTAGTACACAGTCATCCACTGTGAGCAGTATAAGGTATTGTTTAATAGACATTTCATCATAGATCAAACTGATACTAATAATAGAAAAGAGTTTGGTACAGCTGTGTGCCTGTGTTTGGCTGGTTGACTTTTTTGTTTGGCTGTTTCTCCCTTTTAAATTACAAGTAGTTTTATTTGATTAATGGTTAGACATCACTTTCAGTCTAAAAATGGCTTCTTAAATGCATTTCATATTTCTGTGAGCTACTGAAAGTCAGTATTTGCATAGCAATGCTTAAATCAAACCTTTTAGGTGCAATAGTTCTGTCCCACTTAATTTCACCATAGATTTTCCTGTAGTGTAGTCAAATACTGGAATACAACATTGTTTTAAACATGCAGAATTGCATGGCCCCTCAGATTTTACATTTTTTATATTCAGAGTGGTTATATCTATCCTAGCATTTGCTAATATGTTACTAACCCAATTGATTATGCACTTGAAAAGGAATTCTGGATGATACTTCAAATGTGGATAGCAAGGTAAGTTTCAAATTTAGAATTAACTTTATTGTTTTTTCGACTAACCAGTCACAGGTCTACGTAGAGGCTTTTTGAAAAAATACCATGTTGACTTTTAATACGGTTTTTATTTTGAAATATAAATGTCCCTTTAAGTTACTCTCTCAATGCCTTTTTTTGGGATCATTTTAAAACAGGGTTACTGGCATATGTATAACTTGTATTCAAAAGAGCCGAGAAGTGTATTTTCTCATAAAACCTCTCTTTACCTGGCACCAGGTTAAAAAGGTCAAGCTGCATTTCCTTTGCACGATTCCTGGCGGCTGGACTGAGCGACTGTTCACTGCTGTCCAGCCAGCCTCTCCCAAGCGCTGCCTTTCTTCGGTTCCCACCCGCGTCTCTTGGTTCCCGGCCCTTGCTGAGGGCAAAGCTCTCAGCGTGTTCTTTGGGCGGCGGCTGCCCCGGCCCGGGGCCGGCCGCAGCTCCCGCCCCGGGCCG